GAGAGAAGTTTTAGCAACCGAATTTACGTAGAACCTCCTACTTTACAAAAGAGTCCCTGTCTTCTACTACACAGAAGCAAAATTCAGAAACTGTAACAAAGAACCTTCTACTCCACAGAAGAAAGTAAATTCTGAATATAGCATTCGACCTTTGAGGTGTTTTTCTTCTACACAACAGCAGATATCCAAGAACTCGATATCTTATACTTCTTCATCACATAAGCAATCCCCATCTTATACTTACACATAAGAAGCATCCAGCTGAGGAAAAAGGGTCTGAAATGGTTTTCTAAACACGGACTGGACCTTGGAAAAGAATCCAAACAAGTACCAAACTTCATACTTCAACCCCTTGCAGTATTCAATATCCTAACTAAGTGCCCAGAATGGGAGACACATCTAGCATTTGCATCGAAATTAGGGAAGAAATTTGTTGGAGGATGACCCAAAGCACGAAGCTTAATCAACTGAGCTTCCAACACACAAGGAAGTAACTGGATACAAGGCATTAAGATTGTATCAACCTGCTTCTCAAGCTTTGTCTGTCTCTGCTGGTAAGTTTTACCCCATGGGTTCACTTGGAGACCAGAAACTAGCTGCTAGCAAGAAAATCCGAGAACACGAAGCTCTGGGTGAGACCCACAAAGTATCTCATGATTTGAAAAAATGTCCCATGGGTTGGGGATGAATGACAGCTCATGTTGCAACAACGTATACATGATCACTTTTCTTTGCCGACACTGTCTTCAAAACTTTCATACCTGACTTAACTAAGTCTTCAACTGGCTATTTTTCTCCTTGAGGATTTCTGACTACAGGCCATTGTTTGCATATCCCCAATAAACAGCCCCATATTATTCTTTTCATCTCATCCAATTCCCCACAAAGTTGTTTCATAACTTGAATCTGATCACGAAGCGGCGAGAAGTCAAGATTGGCAGTTCTGCAGAAAATACTGAGTCCGAATAAAGATTCCCCATTCTGAGTACCTTCTGAGTACCTGCTATGGATGCATGAATATGCATTAATATGCATGAGGTGAGCGAGAGAATTCCAGATTTGGTCACCACAGTCTCGGGATTGATCTCGCCTTGGACCTTGTCTCTAGATGACGTACCATCTTCAATCGAATGATCAATTGTCCCAGAATAATATGCATAGAAGATTCTTTCAGGAGAACAGATGAATGTTTTTCCAAGCGAATTGATATAAACTGCATCATCAGGCATACTACGCCACAAAAACTAATACAGTTTGTCTTCTATCAAAACAAAAGAGACATCCACCCGGTGATAAAGAATGTGGCAATTGGCCAAAAAGGAGCTGGACCTTTGGAAGAGATGCCAAACAGGTGTTGGGCTTTATATTTCAACTCCTTTGTAGTCTTCAATATCAGAACCGGGTGCCCTAGAATAGGGGATGTATCTAGCATACATATCGTAATCAGAAGAGATGTTTATGGGAGGAAGACCTCAAAGATCAGAGCTAGGGAGAACTGGGAATAATAGGATGTAATGCATTGGGCTCACATCAACATGCTCATCAGGATTCTTGTTTCTTGGCTTAAAAGCTTTGCCCCATGAATTCACTTGGGGAATGAAGACTGGCTCTTGTTGAACAAATTAGGGAACACAAAGTTATGGAATGCCCCTAATTAAAAAGTCTGATGCCCCAGTATGGAAACCACGTCTGACGTTGATCAACAAGAACAAAGCACTGATATAAGATCCTATAGTAAATGAGAACCATCTCCTGATAAGATGTTCCAAGAACTTCGGATTGCGTAGCACTCCATGGTCGAAAGTGTTCCCTAAAAGATGAGGAGAAGAGAGAATCTGCTATGATAGTAGGTGCAAGATTGTTGGCATCATCAGAGCTTCCATGACCTGACTTATATGAATTTTCAATCAATTATCTTCCCGCTTGAAGAGATTTCTAACCACAGGCCGAAGCTTGCATGTATACCCGGAGTTATTCCATAACTGATCTCTGAGCACGTGATAGTAAGAATCAAGTTGAACCTCTGAAGAAAACACATGGTCTGAGCAAGAATCCCCAATCTTCGAGTACCTATTATGGATGCATGAATATACATGGGATGCATGAACGGATGCCATGTCATGTTCTGTTATTTCCAAGGAATTTACGTGCTTTGATTTTGATTTTACGTAAGTAAGGATGGAAAAGTTTGGTACAAGGCTTACAAATATGATTCCTTGGAAATAACAACACATGTATGTTAAGTATGTGGTTAACCATGTTATGTATGCAAAGACATGGGATCAAACAGGGATCAAGGTTCCATCATTTCTGAATATGATTGCTGCACTGCTTCTGAACCATGTGAATATTACCAGATCAGAGGTTTGGCACAGCTTCTGCACATATAAGAACCAAGTACTATGTAGATCACGGATTGTACGGGATCAAGGCTTCTGAAACTGGATATCGTTGAGCCTTTTCCGAATATGCTGGGAATGCCAAGATCAAAGGCTTGAATGAACTTCCAAGTAAGCAAGTCAGGAGCTCATAAAATAAATCTGAGAACCATATAGTCACCAACAGAATATAGTATGCATAAGTCACTGACAGAAATCCAAAACATAATCATTAGAACCAATAGTCACTGTCTGAGCATAGCCATTATCTGAACATGAGTAACCATTTGAACATAGTCACCAACTGAGCATGAGTAACCATTTGAACATAGTCACCAACTGTACCTGTGATAAAATTCCCTCCCCGCTCACGGGTGAAGACTAGGTCAGGGTAAGACAATGGTAACTCGAAAATCACGGGTTCGCCTGAAAGTGCTATGGGCTTACCCACAAACGTGGGTGCCGATAGTAATTCATTTGAACCTCATCCGAGCATGGTATATGACATGACTGCACTAATCGGACCACGTCCTATAGCCGTCATGCCCCCACTCTATTCCTAGTGTCCTAGTGCACTCTGGCCTGGGTACTGGGCCTTTTACCTCAATAGTAACATTCCAACCTAATCAAAAAGCAGATCCAGTACAACAACAGTATATGGAAGATAGTAAAATGTAATACATGCATATGTACAGGTATATTTAAAATGAACGAATAAACTGAAAGCATAAAAATAAACACCCAAAGAAAAGAAAACAAAAGCTAGGAGCTACTCCGGGATGGACCAGCATTTGGCCGACCTATCCCCAGTGAAGTCGCCAGCTGAAACAACCGGCTGAAAATCATCAAACAATGAAGTCGCCATCGAACGTCTTTTATCCCACAAGAAGGGAAAGGTAAACATCGAGAAAACCTGAGAAGGGAGAAGTCGTTGTCTTGTGACCGAGAGATCGGGTAAGGGAGTCTGTTACGCGAGGGGAAGGTATTAGCACCCCACACGCCCGTAGTACTCTATGGTATCCACTCTTGTTATCTATCTTATGGCTGTGTTTAAACTATGCTTATTGTCTACTATACTACTGAAGGTAGAATGCATGCAAAAGAAAAGGGAAAAGAATGTAGGGAAAATGAAAGTTGTGCTCGCTCGGGCCCTACCCCGATGCCTACGTATCCCTTTTAAGGAATCAGAGCAGCCGTAGTTCGGCTTATATGTTTTTGTTGGTTTGTATTTTTTTAATGAACAATACTAATTTCGCCTTCTGCTGCAACTCGACCTTTGGAGACTTACGCGTCAGCACAAAAGTGAATTAACATGCTCTTTTGACAAAGTTTTGAAAATATGCCTGGGCGCACAAAAAGGTTTGAATTTGTTTGTGCTTGAAATGAACGATATTAGTTTTGCCTTCTACTGCAACTCGACCCTTGGAGATTTACGCGTCAGCACAGAAGTGAATTAACATGTTCTTTTGAAAAGTTTTTTTTGAAAGGAAGGCCCGTAGGCAAAAGAGTTTGTATTTGTCGGTGTTTTTTCTTGTAGGTAACAGCTATTTGACCTCAAGAGAGATATTTTAGCCATTTCTCTACTTATTCGTGAAAGGAGTCTTTGAGAATTGAACCACACCTAGACTTGAGATGAAGAATGATAAGATCGAGAAGAGACCCGCTTATCATTTCCTTTACTAAGCAAAGGCATGATTCTTATCATTAGTTTTAAAGTTTTTTGAAGTTTGAAAGAAAAATAAGTTTTAGTTTTAAATGCATATGAAAAAAGGGAATAAAAGTCGAAGGGGAGTTAGAATTTCTAAACCTAAAGTTATCATACTTCATATGATCTATCGAAAGCGATAAATGCGGAGATGAGGAATAAAACGAGGTTGTGATAATACCAAACGGAGAAGGTCCGTTGCCTCTTTAAAAACCACACAAGCGATAAGAAAGCTCTACAGAAGCTGCTCCGCACAAATGGTCAAATAATTAACCTCCAAACATTCCATATTGCGAAAGTTACATCAACATTCTATCACAAAATTTTGGCTAAAAATGGCAACGAAAATGATTATCGAACATTAAAAGAAATATTAGAAAACTCTAATTGAAATCCTAAAGAGAAATACTAAAATATTCTAAAATACTCTAATATTTTTGTATCACTTATATTATCAATAAAGAGAAAAAACTAAAATCTCAACGAGATTAGAAACGTCTGGGGGGTGTTGAGTTGGATCGAGGAGTGTAGTAAAGGAACTCAAGTATTAGGCCCAACAAAAGTCCATGAAGCTGTTTTTTTATGTGTGATCCAACCGCTACCAAAAACTGTTCCAAAAACACTTGTTATAGGGTCTACTGCTTCGGTCCAAGCCCGTTCAAAATGGTGGTACAATTAGCACATTCGCAAATCTCCATTAACCAGCCTATTGTTAATTGATTTACAAAACAAAATTATTAAAAATAAATTAAAATTAGATTTGAAAGAGAGGAACGAATACGCTGTCGTTTGGGCCAAAGGATAGGGTTCCAGCAATTGAGACGGTTCAACTTCTTCTTCCTCTTTCGTGAATCCTTTCACCGCGAATCTATCATCTCACCTCCACCACCGTCTCTCTTCACTTGTTGCGGTTCCACTCAGAACCTCCATCTCGAATCTCCTTTTCTGGCGAACTCTATTCTCTTTTCTCCATCATCATCATCGTCAATCATCCCTGGTGATCTCTGTCGCCTTTGTGTCACGTTTTTCAGTTCAAACAAAGCTACCGCAGCACTGTGATTAATCCCGAACAGGGATGACTGATCTGTGAGCATGCATCGAAGTCATGAATCGCTCATATTTCGCTTCCCTGATTCGTCCGTTCAGAGCTCAACGCCACCGTCTCAAACTCACTCTCTTCTCACCTCCAACGACCGCCGGTACCACACCGCGAATGCTTTCGTCTCAATTCGATTCGTGATTCGAACTCAGGTGAGCACCAAAACTTTCTTGTTCGTTCTTCATCTTTCTTCTACTTCTATGTTCTTTCAATTTTGTATTGATGTGCTACAACGTGATGATATGGTTAGTGTCACAGAGCGCATTGCATGTTGAAGTTGTTCTTGCACGTTTGAAGATTGGATGATGATTTGAGGTTGCAGAAGCTTGATGATGTTGCACGAAATTGTTGTTGTGTTGAAGGTTACAGAAGTTTGTTGCCGAGAGAGATGAAGAATTCATTATGGTTGTTACCGAAAAGATCGTGATGGTGATGCTACTTGAAGGTTGAGGAATGATGATGAAGAAGGTTGAAATTACAGAGAATTTGGTGAGTTTTATTTTCTTCTGTCATCCCTTTTTCTTTGTGAATGAATCCTGAATTTTTTCCTTCTCTGCATCTGTGAATTCTGAGTTTTTGAATAATGATGTGTGTGGTTCTTTGATACAATTGTTATTATTTTTCAAAAAGATGAAGTTCTGGAAACTCGGTGATTGGAGATGATGTATGATGAAGTTGTTGTGTTGAAGAAGAATTGAAGATGTCGTTCATCGTTATTGTAGATTAGTTGAACTCGTGAAGCAGGGAAGTGTGATATGGCGATGGTGACAAAGTTCTTGATTGAAGAGTGTGACGTAGTTATTGAAGAAGGTACTGTTGTTATTGAAGGTTGACGAAGCAGATGAAGAATTGTAGAAAAATATGAAGAGGAAGATTGAAGATTGCAGAGAGTTTTCTTGCGTGATTCTTCTGTGAAATTTTAGCGAGAGAGAAGAGTCAAGGTTGGAGATATTTTTTGTGACTTCTACATGATGAAGAATATTGAAGATGATGAAGTATTATGAGAAATGAAGAGTGAAGAGAGAAGATGAAGGGGAGGGAAAAAGGAAGATGTTTATGGAGATTCTTCTACATGATTGCAGAATCAATCTGAATTGGTAAGTTTTTATGTTTAAATCTATTCTGTAGAGTTGAAAAATAATGAATCTGAATCCCCCTTCAATTGTGAACATATATTATGTTATATAGCTGTTAGGATATTGTTTTGGTTGGTTTTCTGTTAGAATTCAGTTTGCAGGTTAGTTAGAAATTGGTTAGGCGGTTAGAAGGTAGTTTATGATTGATTAGGAGGTTGTTATGAAATATTTTCTGTTTTGAGAGGAAGTTAGTTAATATTCTGTTTGGTGATGTTATTGACAGTTAGGACATTGAAGTGGTTAGAAACTGTTTGGAATCTGGTTTTGGCAGTTAAAAGTTAGTTAGGAATTCTGTGATATTCTGCCATGGGTTAATTAATTGCCAGTTGTTTTTTTTTATAGTCAGTTAAGACTTGGTTTGGAGTTGTTTGCATAAACTAATATAAGTTAGATATACCAATCTATTTCTCGCACCTGTTATGTGTAAATCATTATGTTTCCAGAAATACTTCAAATGCCTAACATTGCAGCACCCAATCATCTCACCCAACACCAAGAACACCCAATTTATCTCTTTTTTCTTCTCAATCAATGGTTGCATTGTGTTTTTTCTACCGCAACTCTTGCAGTCTGGAAACACAGGTTTCAGCCATGCATCCGGTGCACGTTGAAACATCTCAGACTTTTTCTCCTTGATGTAAATTGCCACTTTCTCAAACTTTTTAAGCAAATCAAAATGAATGTCAGTTTGTGTTAAACAGGATTTGCACTGAAGAGTTCCAGTGATAGTTTTCAAGTTCAGTTGAGATAACAAGTGGTCGAGGGTGTGCATGATGGCGAAGGATAATCAAGAGCTTAGCATGGGGATTGAAATACAAAATTCGTATGAAGAAGGATTTAGAGATTGGATTATAATTTTTCATGTAATGTTTTTTTAATGTAATTTTCTATGGTTTTGTAATGTTCTTTTCTTCTGAAAATTTGAATGTGTAACAAACGATAACTCGAAAAGGTCTCACATCTTGAATTGGTTCTTAAAAATATTGAAATTCACATGTTAAGCAAACTTGAGTCGTGATACCCATACTTTTGGAATTTCTATTTAAAATTATGTCTTAAAAATTCTTGAAAACCTTGAATGATATTGCATTATGGTCACCTGAATGGTGAATGAAATTTGGATTTGTGATATTGAAATTTGAAATAGCCTTGAATAATTCTTGAACGCCCTTATGCATGCATAAACTTGATATTTGCTCTAAATTCCAAATAACTTGTTTCTCAAGAAATCCACATGAATCCTTTTCTAACCTTGCATGCTTGGTAAATGAACTTTAATCCAATTATTGAACAAAACTTGAATTCACATAATATTTCTCTTGAAATAATCTAAAGCAAACTCCGTGATCAGAATTCCACCTTCCTGAATGAACCCTAAAGCAAATGACCTATATCATAAGCTATGAAGCAAGCCCAATATTCAATTGATGACCATGAACCAAATGGCCCCTAACATCACCCTATGTCCTTCGTGAGAGAATGGATCCAACACGTTGATCCCCATCAACCTTGTATAATAAATGATAAGAGAACCAAACTGCCTTGGTCTTAATGAATTTACAATGCCATCCTTATATCACGCCTCATTATCTCATGAACCTCCATTAGAGATGTTGATAAACCTAAGTATGATAGGATATAAATCCTAAACTTCCACAAAAAACTTTTAGATTTTGATCTTCAAAGCATCGAAATGAAATCTGAATCAACATAGATTATATCGCAGGTAAGCCAATCGACCAGATGAAGAGCTTTGCATTATAAGGCGTACGAACCCTGATTCGTGAAGAAGGTCCAACTGAATCTTCTATTCTAGAATAGAGTTGTTGCCCACATGACTAGAGATTCAAGCGACAATTTCCTTCTGATTTTTTTTAAAGATATATCAATTGAAACCCTGGTTATTCATGGACGATATCCCTTGATGATAGCCTTGCCTGATAATCACAACTTCCCAGAGAGAACTCTCTTGAATGGTACATGATTTAAAGAAATAAACCCTAATCAAAGGATGACGTTGAGTATAAGGATATAATGAATGCCTGATTTAGTAGCCCTTTAGATGACCTCGTAGAACAACTTGGAAATGAACATGGGGATACAGAAAGAAATATGACCAAGCTGGCCATGACTTAGAAAACCTAATGAACCTCGGTTGATGAAATGCCGACAAGCACAAGCTTGGTGGAGAAACACTCTGACTCTTGTGTTGAATGTATCTGAATAAGTAATAACCCCCTTAATTTGAAGAAAACGGAACCCTCAATAAGCATAGGTTGCAACCCTGAATCGACATTTCACTGCTTGAAGGATAATCAGAAGAATCAGGCTTTTGGATACAAACACCTCAATCGTTGTGAAACCCTAATATCGCACAACCACTGAACTTTGAACCTCAAGCGCTTTACTGAATGAAAATGTATGTTAATGACCTAATGGAATATATATATATATATATATATATATATATATATATATATATATATATATATATATATATATATATATATATATATATATATATATATATATATATATATATATATATATATATATATATATATATATATATATATGAATGCAAGAGTCTAAGCGATATAGAAGAAATTAGGAGGGCAAATTTTAGGGTGCAACAAAGTGCAATGGAAATCCAAAAAGTGCCTGGGTTGGACTTTGAGGAGTTGGGCTTAGCGTCAGGGATTGTCATTCCTCCAAAATTTAAAGCACCTGTGTTCGCCAAATATGATGGAGTCTCATGCCCCAAAATGCATCTCTGGTCCTATGTAAGGAAGATCCAGCCCCATACCGCTGACAAAGACTTATGGGTACATTTCTTCCAAGACAGCCTGTCTGGAACTCAAATTGATTGGTTTTATCAGTTAGAAAGAGCCAGTGTTCATAACTGGGAAGATCTTGCTGCAGCCTTTTATAAACAATACCAGTACAACGCTGATCTTGCACCCACCTGTACTTAACTCCAGATTATGGCCATGGTTTCAAGTGAAGGCTTCAAGGACTATGCGCAAAAATGGAGGGACTTGGTAGGGAGAGTCCAGCCTTCTTTATCTGAAAGAGAGTTAGTTTATATGTTCTTGGGCACCTTGTCTGGACCCTTCTTCAATCACTTAATTGGGAGTTCATCGGCAGGTTTTACTGAATTGATATTGACCGGAGAAAGGGTAGAAGCCGAGATAAAGAATGGAAAGATTAAAAAAGATGCATCCTTTGCTGCTGTAAGGAAAACATTCATCGGAAAGAAAGAAGTGGTTGTTGTATATCCTAAGAGAAATCAAGATAGGGCCGAATTCCGTCCAATGGTGGGGGCTATTATGATTCCTAAACCTGCGCCTGATAAACAAAGAAACAACCAACCAAGAATGGAAAGACCAGTCAGACAATTCACCAGAATTAACATGACCTTATCTTAAGTATTGCCACACTTGTTAAGATCCAATCTAGTGACCTTGAAAGAAGCTCCAAAGAACCCTAACACAACCTCTCCTCACTATCATCCAAATGCCCGATGTGCATACCACTATGAGAGTCCCGGTCATGACACTAACAATTGTTGGGCTCTAAAGAACAAAGTACAAGACCTCCTTGAAGCCAAAGAAATTGAATTCGATGTGCCAGAAAAACCCAATGCCATTTCTGCCCCTATGCCCAAACATGGCCATAATACAAACGCCATTGAAGAAGATATGTTTGTTACTTCAGTTGATGAACTTATGACCCCACTCCTGATTATCAAAAAGAACTTATTGAATGCTAGTGTTTTCCTAGGCTGTGATGAAAGCTGTCATTTCTATTTTTCCTCACCAACCAGCTGTCCTTTATTGAAAGCAGGCATTCAATTCCTAATAGATAACAAGGAAATTTTGTTTGAAAAGACTTTTGTTCCACCTGTTCCTTATAATGATGTTTCCATCGTTACCATTTCGGCCAATTCTTCCAGGGTCTCCACCAAAAGACCCGTTATAATTACATCAGTTCCAAAAGTAGCTCCTTTGATAATTACAATGCCTGGACCAATCCCATACTCGTCAGACAAAACCATACCATGAAATTATGGAGGGGGTGTCTACTACCATGGTATCAAACAAGATTGGACAGCTGTTGAAGATTCAAGTTTTGAGAAAGTTGACTCCAATATCAGTAATATTGCAGGGACTAGCAAAATCACCCGAAGCGAAAGGATATTATCTCCAGAAATTGCTCCCCAAAAGCAATTTTTGGACCCGTAATCATTCTTGTTGTTATTTATCCTCCGAAGACTATTCTCAGTCCTACAATCATCTCCACTAATACTCCAACTGACAAATCTGATACAACCCATGTTATCACTCCTACTAACATTCCTGCTGCCGAGTCAACTGAGACTCGAGGTAAAGGTATTCTGATTGAGCCTGTCCGGACGAAGGAACAATCATTGACTATCCCTGATACCTCCCGGAAAGAGATGGAGGAAATTCTAAAGATCATAAAAATAAGCGACTACAGTGTAGTTGAGCAACTGGGGCAAACTCCATCTAAAATTTCCATGCTGGCTTTACTACTATGTTTCGAGGCGAATGCAAAGGCCTTGGTAAATTTTTTGAAAACTGCCCATGTACCCCAAGAAACATATGCCGATCAATTCCAAGACTACGTAGCCAGCTTGACTATAGATAATGTCTTAGGTTTTTCAGATGCTGATTTAACGCCAAGAGGGAGGAAGCATAATGAGGCATTGCATGTCTCAGTAGAATGCATGGGCACAACTCTGGCTCATGTCTTGGTGGACACTGGCTCGTCTCTAAATGTATTTCCTAAAAAGGCTCTTGATATGCTTGACTGTGATGATTGACATTGAAACTAAGCAACATAGTAGTGAGAGCTTTTGACGGCTCAAAAAGGATGGTGCATGGGGAAGTGGATATCCCCATAAATGTTGGAACCCAAACATTTGATTCAACCTTTTATGTAATGGATATTCGCCCTTCATATTCCTGCTTGCTAGGCCGACCATGGATTCACAATGTTGGCGTTGTTACTTCTACGTTGCACCAAATGCTGAAATATCTGATTCAAGGGAAGATTATCACATTTCATAGAGAAGAAGAGTATATGATCAGCCATCTCAATTCCTTCAAATATATGGAATTAGATGGTGAGTTTATTGAAACTCCTTTCCAGCACTTTGAAGTCCTGCAAGATGTGGCAGTAGCCAAGACTGTGTCTCAAGTTCCCAAGATCACAAGGCCTCCGCTCAGGATGTCGCCTTTGAAGGATGCCAAGGTAGTGATAAAATAAGGTGGGTGCATAATTTGGGGATAACTCCCAGATATCCCATACAAATCTGACAAGTTTGTCTTGGGTTTCACTTCAGGTGCCCAGAAGGTTGTACGCCACGCTCGTGCCAGAGGACCACCCTTGAAGATCAGCAACCGCAAAGTCAATACGGTGGAAGATGATGAAGACAACTACAACCTAGAGGATTGGATTTTCCCAAATGTCAGTGGAGGGCTCAGCAACTGGGAGGCTAGAGATTTCGTCCCGATCACTTTTATCCCACAGTAATTTGTCTTTAAATTTTGTTGGATTTGTAATGTTAAAACAATTCAGACTCTTAAAACCTTGTGTCTTACCCGAGGCACAGTGGTCCATTTGTAAGGGTTATTATCTCATTTCCATATGACATCAATGAATCATGGACGTTTTTGCATACAAACTTTGTGCTCATTGTTTTTTTTTTTACATTTTCGTTTCTTTCAAAGATAGTTATACTCTTAC